CCCACACCCACACCCACACCCACACCCACACCCACACCCACACCCACACCAACACCCACACCCACACCCACACCCACACCCACACCCACCCACATCAACACCCTCATTACCTTTTAACAAATGAGAACAACAATTTTGTTGACACTGAATAGAATTGAACCAAGGCAAACGACCAAACATTGAGTTCAATTATATTAAAACTAATATGCTGATTTGGGGTGTGGGTGTGGCTCGACCGGGGTGGAGGGGATGTGAGTGCGGGTGATTCGGGTGGGGTGTATGTTTTCTCTTAACGAGTATCGACAATTACACGCATCCATCCACACCCACACCCACTCCTACACTTACAATTCAACCATACCTACATCTAAAATTTACTCACACCCACACCTTCCATCATCACTTATCGTATTTCACAAGAACAAACGAAGAGTGTTATAATTCATCGTTTGATGGATTCTTCCCTCGATTCAGCATTATAATGTCAGTTCATCGCAGCCTTCATGTTTTGAATATGGTTTTCGGCTGTCACTATTTCTTCATGTGCGGGTGGTAGGGTCTTCTTCAAAATGCGAAGTGCTTCGCTGTAGCATTGTAGTGCCATTTTGTAATCATGCTGGAGTTCGTAGAGAGTAGCCAATTGATTATAAGTTCTACCAATATGATTGTGATCTTTTGGTAAAGTTCGTTTTTGTATGGTAAGTGCTTTTTTGTAATAACTTAAAGCTTCATCTAATGCGTTTATATCTCTGTGCACATTGCCCATTGTTCTATAAACGTTCGCACCATGCTTGTGATGAACTGGCAGAATATCAAGTGCTTTTTGTGCATACTCTAGCGATAAATCAAATTCTTTTCTTCGCCAATATAGATCCGCTATTTCTGAATAGGCTTGTGCTGTGTGAGGATCATAAGGGGAGCCAATTTTCAGCTGAAGCTCAAGGTGTTTTAAGTAATCGCTTAACGATGTTTCGTAATCACCTTGCAACCGAGCCACTGCTCCAAGCATCAAGTAACAACTGTTCGCTTCATCATCGCTGAATGATTCGATAAGTGCTTGGTTTAAAACAGATCTGGCTTTTTCATATTCACCCATATCGCCAAGCATTCTTCCCAAACTAATGAGACTGGGTCGTGAACCTAATAAACTTTTTTCATATGCAAAAATATCATTTAATGCATAGTCATCATCAGAACATAGTACCAGTTTTGCCATCCAGATATTCTGTTTCTCATTGAACTGTACGTCTTTAATTTGAAAAATACATCCTACCATGATCAAAGTTTCATCTTCTTCTTGGAAGTAACTGAGATTTCGAATGTTAGCAAATGGTTTCGAACTCCTTAATCTCGTATCAATGTCAATATCAAACAAGATACGTTGAGAATCATTGTCGGTTGCTACGTTTTCGACAAATCCCAAGGCAGTCGTTTTATTCGTCGTAGTAGATAGAAAGCTATTCATTGAAATGAGTTCTCCAACACTTGCACGTATCGTGCTCAGTTCATCGGCAAATATTGCTTGCCCACGATATACGCGTAGAACGGGGTCACTATCACTTGGTAGAAATCGAAGAAAGTTTTTATGCTCGACAGTTAATTGCCTATGAAGGTCCTTGATAAAGAAACGAAGCTGTAAAAGTAGTCCAAAGTCATGCGACCTTAAAGCATTGTTTAGAAGACGATAAAGACATGTCTCGCGCGTATACCACCAAATTGCATTTTGTGACACATAATTGTGCTCGAACTCGCAAATGACACGTAGCTGCTCGTCATTATCTTTATAAATCTCTTTAACGAGGTCCACCAAGTCATTCTTGCTTTTCTCTGTTGATGTGTGCATTTTGATAATGATTTCTATGAACAGTTGTAAGTACATGAACATAGCATTTCTATGTTCTAGGCTCGCGCCACCGCTTCGATTGTAAATGCTTATGCCAATAGAGTTCGTGTCGAATTTTCCACGTAAGCGTTGGTCTTCCTGTAGCTGATTAATCAATCGCTCTGAATCATTAAATACACCTTTCGACTGAAAGAAGACATAAAAAAGTGACTTTCACAGTTTGCGAAGTTAATGACTTACAACCTTTTGATAATTATCTGCCCACTGTTTGTTACTGGTCATATCCATGCAATAAACATAGAATGTGCTCAAGTATCGCATACTGTGGACACGCGGGATTAGCTTTTTTCCAAATCTACCTGAAACAATCAGAACTATCCTCTGGTGAGTGCCATCCTCCTTTCGCATATATTCCTCGCATTCGTTAACATTGTCAAACGTTTTCAACTGATTAATCGTTAGACGAAGTTTTTTTTGTGTCGCCAAATTATCTTTTGTGACATTAACAGATTCATCCAGCCACAATAATTGATAGTTTTCTGATTTCTCCATGAGATGTGTATCATGCGATGTGTTATTTGTTCTTGTAGATTTTACCTGCTTCGAAGTAGTGTTTGGCGGAGATGAAATGGATTCACTCATG